GGAGACTAGTGTTGCTAAAGAAAAATTGAATTTATTGGGTTAAATACATGTGTTAATCCCATTAAAAATGCATACATTCAAAATGAAATGTCTAACTATGCAATGCTTTGTACTTTGTTATGTTGGAAACACTGGGATCTCAATGTAATAATGATTGCAATTTATTTTCAATAATCTAGGAACACGATCTAGTTAAGGGGCAGGATCTAACAAAGGACGACCAGGACTATAAGGAAGTAATAATCAACTATCTTCAATTCAATGTTATTGTATGGGTTGAGAATCATGTCAATCAATACAAAGATGTATGGCACAAGGGTAAAGTCAAGAAATGAGCATGTTGAAGCAGTCAATAAAGACATTAAAATATCTAATAAACACATTTGAGGCTGTTCAGTTTGAGTAAGCACTGAGGCCCGGTCTTGGGAAATGATTTTATACACTCCTTGTCTCACTTCTGGATTATTTGACAAGAGGAAGGATTCTATACACATGGGTCACACATTTGGTTTGCCGTTCCTTAAACAATCTGTGTGTGGCTCAGCAGTCCAAGACAATAACTCCACAAAAGGAGGTCACAAGAGAGATGACTTTTTTCCAGAAAGGGTTGGTCTTCAGCTCTCTGTTTGTCCAGCTCCCCAAGAGAGACTGCTTCCTGCCTGTGTTTTCAGTGAGACATGAGGAAGTCTTCGTTGAGAGAAGCAACAGGTCAGAGACCAACAGCTTGAGATATGGAGTTAAACAACATCCCTAAAAATCCAATTCGCAAACTAGGACAAATTGAGTCTGGATCCCGCCCTGGCTGAATTGTATTGTTCTTCCAAACACCAGAGAGATGGAAGACCAGGCCTTTCACTCAGGAAACATATCCTCTCCCTGCCCTCTGTCCAAGGAAAAGGCCAGATTAAAGTGTGTGCATCTGTCTGTTTGTCACACAGCACCACAGGCTCCAAAAGATGGATTGCCAAGCCTCCAGGCCCCTTATGTTTCAGGCCAAACAACATGATGAGCAGGGAGAAACACCAAGAGCAGGCAACCGAGAACATCCTCATCCCAGCTGACGAGCCCCAGGCCTCCTCTCAGCGATCAAGCTGTCCATTAGAAAAAGGAAACACGCATGGACAGCATGCTGCCTGCTCAACTTGGGACTCATCTTTGTTTGTCTGGAGGCCTCACATTTAAAGCCACAAAGCAACAAGAGTTGCTTGAGCAGCTTGGCCAGAAATGGTTTCAAACCCAGTGGTTTAAGCTTAACAATTGTCCCCACAACTGTTATAGATGTGCACAGGCTTCAGGGGTTCTCTCATGTATTCAGAGTCTTTTAATAAAGGAGAATAGGTAATAAAGAACAAAAGGTGCTCATTCACAAAGCAAATGCCATGTGTAGATTCTGTTTATTCATCGACGGAAGTACATTGATCCGAGAAGATGAGATGCCGCCAGGGATCAGAGTGAAGGCAGCAGATGGGGCTGATCGACAACTTTGAATTGTGCAAATCAAAGAGAGCATGAGCAATATTGGCGGAATAACACGGCATTGGACTTACTTTAAATGCAGGATGTTTAAAGAACCACCTTAGGTTCACTTGGGGATTTGTAAATGCTTCTTTATATGGTATGTTAAAGAACTGGTTGCATTTTGATCACATTTCTAATCCTTGAAAAAAACATCTTCGGACACAATTTCAGATTTATTTTTTGGCATTGAACATTTATTGAAACTACTCATTAAAGAAGTGAAGTGCTGCAATATTAACATGCACTTCAGGGCTTTATTCAGAGTTTTCTGCATGATTGCTTCTCCAAATCTAGACACAGAGGACTGCTGTAGCTAATGATCAGAAAATACTTCGCCAACAGAAATACTGGCAGTTAAAACCAATACTGTCTAGACTAGAGCATATGCAACTTTCCTGCGGGTATTTTGTCGACTATTTCCCATGAGACCACACTTGATGATGAGGGTAACAATGAAAAAGTCTAATGAGTTTATATTTCAGCCGCCTTCATTTATGCACACTGAAAATGTTTATTGATGCTGAAAGTCTAAAGCAATCAGAGGACAGAACTAATCAATATTCCTACTTGTATTTTTGAAAGTTAAAGAAAAAGGCATTACAAGGGTGCCTGGATTAAAATGGCAGCATTTCCACACGGAGAAACCTTCGATTCAAGGCCGATATCTTTTGAACCATCACTTGGAGCTCCAGTTCGAACGGTTGACAAGTTACTCTTTCAATAACAGGAGATTTGCAAAGGGCTAAGGAAATGTAAGGATATTTGAAACCTACTGTATGAATCCTGCTTACCCGGTCCTTTATGTTAAAGATGAGACACACCACTCACAGCTCCATATTGGCTCAGAAACACAACAGCTCTGTACTATCAAAAATCGTTTTCACCATGTTCCAGGCTTTCTATGTCATCAGGGCCAATCACACATAGGAACTTCAGAGTAAGAACTAGTGCTTTGTTAGAAACATACATATGAAAGAGATGACATTTTCAGATATAGACAAGGTAGAAGCTTCAATGTTGCCTGGGTTTTATCTTGACACATGCCACTTGAGAGTATGATGAATTGTCACTATATCATAAAGAGAAAGAATAAAGAATGAAGTCTAAAGTTCACAAGTATTTGCACGTTACAATTATTGATTTCTCGTGAATGGTCTGGTGTAATGTGACAGCCTCACATGGCGTTGGTGTCCATTTGATTTGCAAGTCTAGAATATCTGAATTCTTTGTAAGAATATGAAATAAACCGACTGATATTTGCTGTTGGTATTCACATCAAATGGGTATAAAAAGGAACAGATTGCTGCATAAAACCTTCCGTTCCATGTGTAGTTTATTGAGGACAAGTTGAATTCCCTAAAGCTATTGACTGAGCTTTATAAGGGAGGTTTGGTTTGTCGTGCCAACTATTAAAACAGGGAACCAGCTGAAAGTTAAACATAAGACCTTCAAATGTCAAAGCTGTAACCTTCACAGTAAGTCAGTCACCGAGCCAAAACACTAATACAGAGGCTTAGATGGATTTACTTTTTTATATTGTTTTTATCCTTTTTTTCTGACATGTCATACATTGAGTTCACTGAGGATGATATTAGTTTTGCAATAAATAAGCAGAAACATCGAAAACGTAATAATTTGAAGCAGTTTGTGATAAATCTTCATGCACTTCAGCGGGCGACCTCTACTACTCTTCCCATTACACTGTAGGGTGATGTGAGTTCAAACACACACTGAGCATGTTCCTTTCTCGGTAGAAATGATGGTGTTCAGCTGTGCAGCACATCGCGCTCGTGTTCGGTTGCCGGCGCTATTTATTAACAAAGACCAGAGAAAACAAAAAATAAATCCGGGGGTTTAAATCAAATCATTTTATTCTGGACCACCGTTTTTTCCCCCCTCCTCTACTGATGCCAGCTGTGTTTGAACAACTGGATTTCATCGGCGGCATGCAGCCAATCTGCCAGCAAACCTCAGACTAAAAACCCTCACTTAATGTCAGCACAGCAGGTTCGGTTCTGGCTCTGGTGCTCTGATCCACAGAGCCGTTCAAAAACACACATCCTCTTCAAATCCACTTCCTATTTACTGTTCTACTCGTCAAACATGCATGGCAAAAAGTACCGTCTCATTTCGTTTTGGAATAGGTTTTTTCGCAGAAGTGTGTGAGAATACACAGATTATGAAATAACAGCTCTTGTTATCCAGACTAAGTGTAAGTGTAGTGTACATTCTGACAGACTGGTATTTTATATGAATGGAGGTTTGTTTCAGAAAGGTTCTCCATCATGTTTAAGCTCAATAAATTAAGTTAAATCTACAGTAGATTTCACCTCTCTATCTTCTCGATTTGTTCCTCTTGGCTAAGGGTTTGAAAACAACTGTAGACGTTACATTTAATGCTGCTGGACATCTATGACAGCTATAATATGAAGACCATGTGGGCAATGCGTGGGAATGCAAGGCGTTTTTCCACCTTGGCTGATCACAGGGGAAACGTTTGGTTCCCGTATGGAAATGAAATGTTTTCACGGCACGAGAATGTAATTCCATGCTATAAATGGGGCTGGTGAAAATGTGACAATCTGCAAGTCAGCTTTGCAAAATCCCCACCTGTGCAAAGTAGGAATGTTATTCAAATGAAAGCCTGAGCGTGATTTCCCCCCAAAAAATATGTCCCACAGTCTGCAGGTGGAATTTACATATATTAAGTCTTGAAAACAACTGAGATTAATGGCTGACTGACATAAAATCCCATCCACCCTCTCTCTCTGTCTCTTTGCTTCCCTCTCCCTTTTCCTCTATCACACAGACAGCTCTGCTTGTTCCTGGTTGCTCATGTGAGGCAGCAGAGCTGGATGGAAAACATATTGCACCATCAATCACGTCCCATTCTTCTCAGCAACACATTGGACTCGGAGCTTGTCTCAGACCGAGGCCAAGTACGAGTTGTCTTGAGTAAAAACGCAAAGATGACACACATTCCTCCGAACAGATACAAAGCTCTGTCAGACTGCTCCTATTCCGATAACCTGATCTCTTTCAAATGATGTTCCCTTTACTTCCTGGTCCCTTGACTGACACTGCGTTGACAGTATCTTAATATACACAGAGAGGAGTGTGTGCCGCGTTCAAACAAAGCCTCCTTCTCCCCTGTGTTATGCCAACAGATCAAATGAAAAGATAGAGGGAGAAGAAGGAGGAAGATGTCGGTTTTCATCAATGTCTTGCTGATGTATTCAGGAATCCCTGTCTTTCAAGTCTTTATTTCAGAACAGCAAAAAAACCAACGCATGGAGAGCCATGCCCACAGTAGTAGTGCAGGAGAGAAGGCTTTCCTCTTTCTCTTTGCCTTGTTTTGTGCGACACACAACTTGGCAACAGCCCCAGTTGTAGCCCCTGGGCAGTGCATATGTCCCCCATTTCTACTCCAAAAAGCACTGACTTTCGAGCAAGGGCCAAGTATGAATGGAGGGAACACTTACTCGTTTTTCTCCAGCGCCAAGAGCAGCTGCTCACCTTCCGCTTCAATCAGGAGCTTCAGTGATGCGGGGTGACTCTGAAGAGGAAGCAGACAGAGGAGGGGATGAGAACGATTGGTTACGGACTCAGGCAGACACTATTTTTGGTTGATGGAAGATGGTTCTCTGGTAGCAAACATGGTTCAAATTTAAGAAAATAAATGAAATGTGCGGCAAAACAGTTTTTAAAAAGCTTGATTACAACCCTACAAAGCCACCCAGCGCTGTAAGAAAAAACGCAAGAAGGCTGTTTTCAATTGAGTGGTCGAGAATCATGTGAAGCGACTTTATATATCTTAGAACAAGAGCTGAGAGGATTAGCATTATGTTACTATTCCATTTGACATTAATCCCGCAGAAAGCCACGAGTCTTCGCACCCCTGAGTTACAACACTGAGAGCGACCGCGTGACTCCGTTAGAGTCACATGAAGTGGCACCAAGTCGTACATCACTACTGTCATCCGCTGTGCACAAGCTCGCACGCACGCTCATATGTCATAACCTCTCTCCTGTTGTGTCTCGCTCAGGCACAAAAACACACTGTCTCACACACCTTCTCTAGGTATCAGCAACAACACACACAAATATATTTTACACACGTAGTTCAATCTGGGTCAACTGTGGCAGAGATCGCTGCTCTGGGTTAAGTCCTCCATCAGCCCCCGGGGAGGAGAATGTCGAGTGGATCATAAGAGGATATGGAAGCAGACAGAGGAGGTTTTAGGCAGTATCATTGCACAAGCCATGGAAGCACACTTCCTGCTATTTTCAGTTCAGACAGCTCTCTCTATGAGGCACGCTTTGACCTCACACTGCGAATGTTTAGGACATTATAACTTCAGGGAAACATACACAGCACACTGCATGTTTGGGCTTTTTGTTAAGGGAGTAATATATTCAAACAAAACACTTCATTTCACCTTCATTTTTTTCTTTAGTTCTCGGTTTTGCTTTGTTTTTAGGGTAATAACATCCCAGAGAAACCTTGTGGTGCTGTGCCTGTTTGGTTAAGCCAGAACAAATTCATTCACTAATTAATTGACTCAATAACACAACCTGGAAACTCAAGCTGTGTTTTCTAAGTCTGCCTGGCAGCCATGTATTTCATTTTTACAACATCTTGGATTATAACACCAAACAGAGCCAGAGATCCCACATTTCAAACATTTCATTAATATTCCAGTGGGTTTGTGTTGTTTCCCGCCTTCTTTAAATGGAGATATTGTGCAGCCATCTGTGCTTGAAATGTAATGAACACAGAGGCAATGACTGATATCTCTGGATGAATATATAATATACACCTTTAACTGCTGACACTTTCATTACATTCAGACTTAGATGCAGTTTGCAGTGTGATCATTATCTAAAATGAGTTGATTCAAGATGTATTACTTTAATTTGCATTTCAATCTAATGGTGAATTTCCACTACAGCGCGGAGCGTGGTTTAAGCGTGCCGTGCCCGGCCCGTTTTTGGTTGCGTTTCCACTAGGCGAGGAGCGGACAGTGTGAGCTGGGTTCATTTCCTGCTTGCTGCGTGGGGTCTGCGAGACAGCGAGACATCGCGAATGGATGCGGGAAGGGGGGGAAGCTGAGGGGGCTGCAGCACGCTGAGAGAGTGTCTGTGTGTGTGTGTGTGTGTGTGTGTGTGTGTGTGTGTGTGTGTGTGTATGTGTGTGTGTGTGTGTGTGTGTGTGTGTGTGTGTGTAATAACTGCAGTTTGCCTCCCTGTCAGAATGACAAAGATCCTCAGTGAAGCACAAGCCCATGATTCTCACTAAATTGAACAACTTATTAAAAAGATCAGTTCAATGCAACTAATGTCGTCTTAGTGTTGTTGCATGATGTTAAAATTAGTTTGCCATGAATTTAGTGATGGATTGTAAACATTTGAAATGTAGCATTTAAGTGTTTCTAAGTTACAAGGTTGTTGTTTTAATAAATCAGACACTGATGGTGCAGTGCTGTACTGTACCTCTTTAAATAGGCATTTCTTCAACAATTCACAAATTGTGTTTGCGCTGATCAGGGGGTACTTGGCTGAATTTTGTTTTCAAAAGGGGTACATTATTGAAAAAAGTTTGAGAATCACTGCTCTAGGGAGCAGAGGAATCAGCCTTCTTTTTTTACATGTCAATATATTCAATATTTCTTGTGAACAGGTTGATATTCTGACCTTATGGTGGCAGTAAATGCCATGAAAATTCATTTTGACTTGATGGCACTGAATCCAAGACAAAATCTTTAGAAATCAGAAGCAGGCGACAGTGAATGTATATGCTAAATGTCATGACATTGTGTCAAGAGAAGGACAGACAACTGGAAGTCTAACATATTTGAATCAACTGCTATTGTTCACCTGGATTGGGAGCTGGCTGGTGGGTTTCCATTCTTTTCCAACAAGCTGAAGAGGCACTGTAGTCCCATAGTGTTTCTGCTTTGCTGTTGGTCTGTGTTGAACAGTCATGCTCAGAAGACTCCCTGTAAAAGAAAACATAAATACCACATGAGAATACACAGAAAACTTCCAAGTGTTCCTCATTTATTCCAAATATTCTCTGCATCTGTTAAAACATATTTGTGGACACAAACAATAGAAACATTTTCTAAACTGATTTTATACAAACAATACTGATAATTAGTTCCTCCCCCCTATTAAAGGCCTGAGCCTGGTGTCCATTACCAACATCAGAACACAACCTGACAGTTCAGCTGCCATGTAATATCAGTTAAACTAAATCACAGTACTTGTATTTGATGGCTTTTCTGAGTCACCGCACACAAATAACGCTTTTTCGGTTTTAACAACCAACAATTATCTCCGCTGAAAAATTCCATCGCCAATACGTCTTTCCTGGACATATGTTCAACTCCTTTTCATAGGATGTCGTCTCCCCTGCTATTAAGACATGAATACAATAATCAGCACTCTCAGACATCAAGCAATGAAAACCTGAAGCTGTCGGTGAAACTGTAACCACCCCCTTTTCTCTCTCAAGCTGCATGCATCTCCACAGTTCAGGAGTTTAGAGCGTGGAACTGTGGTTGCTGCTGCTGCTGCTGTGATAACTCCTAACACAGGGCTAGTGTCCAGGATGCAGTGCAGGGATTGGACGTAGCTATGGGGCATTGTTCTCAGCATTCTTTTTATCTCCTCTCTCCATGTTCTGACAGGGTGTTAACTGAGCCTCCAAGTGGCTACAATTCCTGGAGCTCTGCAGTATTACTAGACATTTAAGACTATATATGTCCCTGAATCCAATACTGAATTGCACAAGGGGTGCGGATAGAAGTTGGAGAAACACATCCACTATCACGCCACTTATAACTGAGACAGAAGCTGCAACTGATACTAAACAGTAAATCATGAGTATACAGAGAGACTGAATGCAATCGTGAGCCACTGGAGGACATTGCTAAAGTGTTCCTGCAGTAATCATCTCCCCGCAGCAGGGAAGCTATTTCCAAACTCGGGTCTCTTACTTAGACAGCAGGGGGTGTTTGCACCATTTGTTTCAGTGCAAACATCCTAAATCAAATGTTTGCTCATTTTCTTTTTTTGGTTTTCTTCCACAATACTCCATCGAGCGTTTCCAAACAGCAGGGAAACAGATTTATTTGGAGGGTGATGTCCCTGTTAGAAAGTTACGCGTGTGGTCTAGGCATGATTGATGGTATGTTTGGGTTTTATGTCTTAATTTTGAATCAAATTTCAAACACATATAAGTGAAAAACACCCTCAAGGGAGCACAGATTTTTATTATTATTAGCAACAGATTCAAGGTTTTTTTCCTTCATGGTTCACATCAATGCCGTCTCTCTATGCATGATTCACCCAGCTAAATTGCTGAGTCTGCTTATTATCCGGCATTAAAAACCTGGGTCAGACACACCCCCCCCCCCCCCAGCTGAGCTTTGTTCTGGTTCTCCTCTGAGGAAACCACCCCTCTGGAGTTGATCACAGAGACTCTCCAGCTGATAGGGGAGAGCCAGAGGTGACCAGCTCAGCAATCCTCAGCCAGCTCCAGCCTGATGATGAGAAGCAGGCATCTCTCACACACACACACAGCGAGGGAAGCATCCTACTCTCATTAGTCCTAGAAAACCACACCGTCTGGGGGAGGTGGGCATGCTGAGTAAGGAAACACATGACGACCTCTGTGAAAAGTACGGATGGATAAACAGAACAGACGAGGGGGGAATAGGGAGACGTTTTGACAGGGAAAGGTCAAAACCAAATTATGCTTATCCAATTCATGTGAAAACACACACTCACACAGATGGAACAGCCTTTTCTGTGCTCCACAACTTTAAAGACGAGGTTCACCATACAGCGGCTCCTTCCCTTACTTCAAAGTCCACAAGTGACTGGCCATTTTGTTAATGTGGTGTGCTATGAGGTTTAATTCCCGCTTATAAATGGCATTATATTAGTGGAAACAGTCTGGAGGCTCAGTTTTTCCCCCCGTGCTCGGGAGAGACATTTGGTAAAGTCGGAGTGTAGCGTGGCTGTGGTATGTAAATGGATTTTGTTAGCTAGAATGTTATAAGAGCCACCCGAAGCATTAAGGGAGCGGTAAAAGTGGCACGAGAACCCAAAGCCTTATTTATACGTTCAATAAAGAAGAGTGTAAACAGAGGTCTTAATAAAGCAGAGTTCTGGCCATGATCAGCTCCCTTTATGATCCAGCGTACACAAGGAGGGTTTGTGCCACTTATATTGCCTCCATAAAGTAAATGCTGGTGATGGAAATGTGATACAGACCCATGACTGTTTAGAGTAATTAATTAGTCTTTCCCCAGCAGTGTTAAGAAGAAAATAACCAAATCTATTATGAACTCCTTATTTACTGCCATTGCTTGGTTGTTTTCCTGGTGTATCATACTCACAAAAAGCATGGATTAAGTGGTTTGCAGGTCAAAAGGCATCTATGGGTTACATTTGATTGCAAGGTTCTTAAGGTCAGAGGGTCCCAACCTGGGGGTGGGGATATCCCAAGGGGTCGGAAGTAAATCAGTCTTTCTGCGTGATGATTGGCAAGACCATTTAACACAAGATCAGGTTTATCTGATTTTTATATTTTTTTAACACCTCTTCAGGGTGGAAAACGACTATAACTCGAAGACTGCAGACCCCTGCCGAATGCTCCATCCATCTCTCTAGGTTTTTGAAAGTGAAGAAGTTCTGTATGATCCCCATGATTTGAATAAGCTCCAAATGTTATGGGTTCTTATTTGCCCCATGCTTCACTCTTCAACCAACTTTCATGGAAATCTGGCCAGCAGTTTAACCATAAAGATAGATAAACAACCCAAACAAAAAAAATGATCCTCTTTGGTTGAGGTAATGAACCACATCCTCACAGCTCAAATACAAATGGAACTTGTGACTAGGGAGGCATTGCTTGTTCATGAAGATTCAAAAGATAAAAAGTTAGTAACCTGCAGTCAAGGTCAGGGGTCAGTGACCACTAAAGCTAAAGCCTAATTGTAGGTCATCATCACCTGTTGCATAGAGCTGTAGGTTATGCAAAGATCAATACAGGAATTGGTAAAAGAGGCAGGGAGGGGCAAAATAATCAGGTCATTTGACAGAAAAATTAAGATTATAAGAACATCAAGGTAACACAAAGGTTAGGATATCAAGGCACACATAATGTACTGTTTTGGTTGTGAAGATTTTAAAACTCACTATTCTTTAGATATCAGAATATGATGAATATAATAAATTCACTTTTTAACCAAACAGTCTGTTTTAACCTTGATATCTAGCTGTGTAGCCTGGTGTATTAAATCAGTGCTTGCTAGAGTAGATTACAGTTCCTGATGATATTTCACACTCAATCTTTACCTGGTTTTATCAGCTCTTCAAAATTAATGCATTCTCCACAGCCTATGAGATGCTTGTCCATGGAAACACATGACCTTCCTCAGTTATTTCTCAGATGTCAAGATGTCCTTTCTAACGGCCCTTTCCCATCTTAATCTGTTCCACCAAAACAAATCAACAACTGTGCTGCTTTATTAAACCCCAGAGCCTGCTTTCTCGCAACGAATTGTAACTCACTCCTTGACAGGCAACCATGAAATAATATATTCATAACAATCTTTGCTTTTCCAACACAAATGGCATATGGTTCTTTTCATCTTCACACTTGATGAGGCCGTGCCCCACACATGTGCACTGGTCCTTCTGAGATGGAATACAGCAGGCTACACACACGTACACACATCAATAAATAGCACTCCTAATCACAGTCACCCTTGCCTGATGGCTGGCGCAGGAACAGAACACGAGGACATACTCCAAAGTCACTTTGACAGCAATTCTCGCCGATTTTGAGAATATGTCAGAGAATTAAATAACAACGCCTTGGGACGTTTGAATGACACTCTTAGTAAACAAAATCCCCTGAATAGTACAAGAAAAAGTGTAGAGGAGACACACTTGAGATGATCCCATCATTGTTTGATACGGCTGGACACTGTTTAGTTACGACTCAAAGCGCTAGAAGGAAATGGGCTTGAAATAAGAGCATGTGGAATTAATTAGGGCAGAGCAATGAGTCAAACTGGCCTGTTTTAAGCAGAACTATGACACAAGAAAGACAACTAAGGTATTTAAAACAATTCTTTCCCTGGTAACATATGGAAATGTGTTTTGGATAAAGCAAATCTAATAAAATGATCACTTTTTCTACATTAGGAACATGTATCCGCTCCCATTTTCATCCAGATTGGGGGGATGTCTTTAATCAGAGCATTGACTGGATTGGGGACATGATCAAGGGAAGGCTCTGAGCCAAAAGTTGGTTCTGACGTCAGCCACAGGAGAAAACTTGGTTAATGTTTGTGGCTATTGCTCATTTAATAATGGGTGATTGACAGGCATACCACAAACTCAATCTATCCTCAATCGGAGTGGGAAAAATATACTAATTCAAACCGAACGGTGATTGGGAACAGAATAATAAATGCTACATTGGGAGGACGCTTTTTCATAAATGACCTTGGGGACAAAAGCAATTAACTCTGATGTCTCTCTTTCATCATCATGACTGGGACAAATCATTATTGTCATAATTGAAAATGTCAAAGAATTGAGATACATTCTGGTTCCAATTGCCAAAGACTTCAAATTGAAAAGCAGTCCAAAACCCAAACATTTCAATGTATTATTTTGGAAAGAATAGTCAATACATGATTAGTTTTGTCAGAGTATTATTCATGAACAAGTCATTTTTAAGAAAGCATGCCCACATTATCATGAACCCAGTGTCTCAAAGCAGAAAATCCTCATAAAAAATAATGTCCTTGGGACTCTGGATCACACAGATCAAGCAATTACAGACACCACCTGGGGCTCTAAGAACGTGTGAGGAACATTCATTATTATTTTAAACATTTCTTAAGCTTTAAAATAGACCCTGAATGATTAAAAAAAGAAAAGCAGAGAATTATCTCATTTCAGAAGCAGGACT